GCCACACCTTTGGGTGGCTGGCTGGCTAGTGGATAAGGGGGGTTCCCCCCTCCTTCTCCCTTTCCCCCTTGGCTCATTTGCAACATTTGGGGATCCAAAAGCTAGGGTTCTTCCCTTCTCTCTCTCATTCTCTCCTCTCTCTCCCATGGTTTGTGCCAAGATTTCTAGGAGAGATTGAGAGCCCTTTGTGGATGTGCATGGGAGATTGAAGGTCCACCTAGCTCCTCCCCTTCCTCTCCCTCTCAAGCTTGGTGCTAATTTGAGTGAGGGATTCATAGCCTAGTGTTTGCATTTGAGAGTTGTATGGTGGCACTAGGAAATCTTTGTGATTGGAGGATTTCTTGTTACTCTTGGTGATTGCCATCACCTAGACGGCTCGGTGAATTGTGGTCTCTGTTGTGAAGCCCGCGTGAAGATTGTGCGTGGCTTTAGAGAAGGATTTGTGAGGGGTGTTGTGTGCGACCAGCGGGAGCCACGAAGAGCAATGTAGTAGTAGAGCGTGTCATTGAGTACCCTCACTTGTGGGTGGGTTCTTGCGGCACCCAATTGTTAGGCTAGGCTTGTGGCGCCTATTAGCTCGCCGAACCACCAAGTGAACAGTCGACACAATGAGGACTAGCTTGGTGGCAACCAAGTGAACCTCGGGATAAAAATCACCGTATCAACCTTGTTCATTCCGTTGGTTTGCAATCCCCTAACACAAGCTTGTACTTATTCACTCATATTTTGTGCTTGTATTGTTGTAGTTGCTCTTGTAATTAGTTAGCTTATGTAGCTTGCTAGTTTTCTTCCTTGCTTGTGTAGAATAGTAGTAGCTCCCTTGTGTAGCTAGTTTACTTTTGTAGTAAATTAGTTCCTCCTTTGCATAACTAATTTGGCTTGAATAGCCTTGTTAGTTATATCGCTTAGATTGTGTAGCTAAGTAATTTACGCTCTCTAATTTGGCTTGAGTAGCCTTATTATTGAGCATTGCTAGTGAGCTTATATTTTATGCTTTTGCATACAAGTTTGAGTAGGAGCTCCACCATTGCTTGAAGTACTAGTTGCATAGGTTTGTGTGACATTTGCTTCTAGAATTATTTAGGTGAGCTCTAGCTAGCCCGACACCTTCATTGCCTAATTAGGATCTTTTATAAGGTGCTTGAGAACTTAGATAGAGTGGTGTAGTCTTGGCTAGGCCGATGGTTTTAATTCCGCACTTGTTTTGGTTAGCCGAGCGCGATTAAATTTTAAAACGGACTATTCACCCCCTCTAGTCTGCCATCTCGACCCTACAACGGGGTGTAGACACATCCGGACAGACGGTGGACGCAAGCATCTAAGCGTTATCAAAAAATAGACTTGCTAGCACCTAGACGTCCGATCTAGGGCGCTAGCGTTGGACGGTGCCACGCGCGTAGCAGAAGGAGCCCGCGCCGCCTATTTTTTCGCGCGCCCACCGTGTGAGCCCCCACGCCTATGCTCGCTCAGCAGCGCCCTAGTAGCGGGCCCGCGTCGCCCAAACGTCACCCAACAGCTGCAATAGGTAGCTGCGACAGGTGGGTCCTATTGTAACATGTGCAACATACGTCCTATTGTAACATTTTGCAGCACCAAGGTGAACACTTGCAACATACGTCCAAAAATAGATGAAACACTTGCAACATACGTCTGAAAACACCTGCAAAACACTTGAAAGCCATTGCAAACATATGCAACATCCAGATGAAACACTTGCAATAGATGTATGAAACACTTGAAACATACGCTTGCAACATACTTGTATATGCAATATTCAAATCTACTTTTGTAACATCCAGATGAAAAAATTTGCAACATATGTCTGATGCAGATGAAACATTTGAAACATACACTTGAAACATACGTGTATAGCCATTGCAACATGTGCAACATCCCGATCTACTTTTGTAACGTCGATATAAAACACTTGCAATATACCTCTAAAACACTTGAAATATACGTTTGCAACATACTCTTTCAGCGTAAACATCTCCTTGTTGCTTGGCGAATGGAGGCTCGTTGGTGTGTGGAGGTCACCGGTGTTCTCGCCGGCGGCGCACAGAGGGCGGGTGTGGGGGCAGCACACACTGGCAGAACCAGGGGGTCAGCAGGGCCCTGGCCCCCAAGCACAGTGAATTCTTTTAAATATCTATAAAAAATCCAATTACATAGCACAAAAATATTTTTTCACTCTTTTTTATGATAAATGTTGTGTTTTTTGTTATGAGTACAAAATATATGTGTAAAAACGTTGAAAACGCTATTAAGACATACACTTGTACATATTTATAATGTTTACGAGGTGTCATCATATTGTCCGGCCCTCCTTGATCAAAAGTTCTGGTTCCGCCACTAGCGGCACGGGTGTCGGTATGCACAGAGGGCGGGTGGGTGACACGTGGAGATCACTGGTGTGCTCGCCGAGCGGCGCGGAGCTGAGCGGCGGCATAGAGGTTCGGGTGGGGCGGCACGGGCGGCGGTGGAGCAGAATGCGGGTGGGCGCGGCGCGGGTGATGTAGACAGTGGGTGAAGCGTCCGGACGTTGGAGCATTTCCCTATTGAAAAGCGTTATTGAAAATTTTGCCGTGCAAGGAGCGCTAGTATTTCACGCCCTGGCTGTTTCTTTGCTTCACGACTATCCGAAAGTGCTGGACTCAAGCCTATCTTTTTTTTTTGAGTGGAGCACTGTCTTTATTCATTCAATGAAATATAGTTACAAATGCCATCGAGAGGCTCAAAAACCAAACATGTCTACTTGGTAAATTTACAGAACTTCTAGCTAAGAGATGTGCATCAATATTTGAACTCCGCCCTTGGAAGACGAAATCAATTCTTGAAAAGTTCTCCATTCTAGACTTTATTTCCAAGACGATGGCACCATACCTGCCCATCCCCTCGCCCTGGATGCTTCGAACCGCGTTGGCACAATCACTGGCCAGCCTTGCTGCCTGCAAACCAAGGTCACTAGCCAGGGCCAGCCCTTCACGGCACGCTATCGCCTTTGACCACCTCTGCGTCAGTGTTTCCTTCCACTACAAGTGCCGAGGCTCCCAAGAAGTTGCCCACTCATCACGCCACAGCAGCTGATGCCGAACGCCTCGAATTCTTGGAGACTGTCGCATCCACGTTCATCTTGGCCAGCCCAGCCGGCGGTTTGATCCACCGAGGAGGCAAGCCCATCTGGATGTTCTGCATAGACTAAAGCCCAGTCGAAGTTAGCCCATCCTTGTGCATACGCTTGTTCGTGGTTTGTTCCTTCCGAGCTGCTTTTGGGTTTCCCCTTCCCTCGTGGCCTCGTCCAAGCGGACCACCGGAGGTCACCTTCACCGCCGGTCGCCGGATCAACGCCCATCGCTAAGGTGCGCGACGCATTTAACTCCCGGGCGCCGGAGTCCTCCACGGCTCTACCTCTGCGCCGCCTCCGCCCGGGGTACCAGCTTCCGCCATCGGCTGGGCACCGTCGCCATAGAGTGTTTAACTTTGAGGATGGGTTCTATTCGTCCTAGCATTTCAACTTGGATGCAATGTGACCCTCCCCCTAATAAACCATGGGATGCAATGAACCGACAGTTTAGTAGGTGTGGCAGCATGGTTTTGCTCCTCATTTTTGAAATCAAAGGGATGTTGCCATCAAAATAATTGTTTCTTCTTGAACTGTTCGGAGTTCAGACTTAGATATTCTGTGAAACTCACATAGTATCAACGATGTCACTTGCAACTTGCAAACAACTATTTCACTCCATAATTGTATCAATGAGTTCTTAATGAGAGAGAATATGCCACATCATTAAGCACCCCTAAAAAAATTAAGCATCTTATCTTCCTTATAAACACTTAATAGATTTGACATGGCAAGATTTTTTTTTTTTTTTTTTTTTCCTAAGCACATCCTCTGAGGCCCCCATTGTACATGTCACTCGAGAGGCTTTCCTTTGCTTTGTGAGGTCCCTCTTTATGTTCATGAACTGTTCTAGATATCAGCTATTTTACATGATTGCATTGAGCTGCAGAGTGAACTAAAAATTGGGTGCTGCTCTCATTCATCTACTTCTAATTCAGTGTACATAATTTGAAATTCTTCAAAACACGTTTTTTGTACTGAACTTTTTAGTTTATTCATTCTTTTTTAGGTCTGGTTTTGTATCCTAAAAGTATATAATGCATCATCCTGTGCTCATCTTCTTACACTCCTATGGGCAAGAGCAAATCAACACAGTAGAGCATCTGAACTAATATCTCTTGCAGCCTACATGCTAACTTTTACTAAGTCTGGTTAGTTCATGTTGGACTTTCTACCATGTTTACATGATTTTGGTGGTCTACCTGTACAGCTGTACTATTGCCATCTTTCATTGGAGGCCAGACCTAAAATCATCTTTCGTGGGTCAATAATAGATAATGTGCAATCAGATAAGGCAGGAAGGCAGTGTTTCTTAATAGAAAACAGAGTCTACTGGGTGAGGTAATATATATTTTCCTTTCTCATGCTTTTGGTCTCATTATTTGTTAGGTGAATGCTACTGGACAAGTTAGTTAGATTTCAAATAGATCACCTGGTCATGATGGATCTGTAACACTATCCATCGGTTTGGTTGAGCAATATTCTGTACAGCCTATTATAAGTAACATAAATTAGTGTAAAACCCAAACGAATGTGGCAATAATATGTTAGTCGCTTCATAGATGAATCTTGTCACATGGGAAGAAAATATATACATCGTATTCTGATTGAGAAACTATCAACTCAGACCGCAATACAAAGGAAGTTAAATATGCTACTATGCAAATAACTGTGTTTAACTTTGCAAGGGCATGATAATTTGGCTTGGTCAGTTGAAAGCTGGATAATGGCGCAAACAAAAAAAAAAATCATTACCATTTCTGGAATGGCAGTCATAGATCAGCAAGAACATAGAAAATTGTGACCATTGCATGCTATGGTATTACCCAACGATATCTGTCTCTTCTTTGGAGAGGGTTTACACTTCTTTTATAGTGTTTTAAAAAGCCTCGTCACTATCATTATTGCAATCAATGGCCATTCCACTCGATTCTCCAACATCCAGCATGCTATCATAGAAACAATCATCTTCATCTTCACTGACACCTTCAAAGTCATCCTCACTGTCATCCTCTATTGCATTGAGAACCTCTTGATCGTAGCTTGCACCATCAGGTTCTTGTAACTGCGTTTGCAAGATAGTAATCAATTTATATGATGCAAATTTTCTTTCAAAAATTTATATGAATGAGGGCAGCAACCAACAATTTGAGATATTAATTTGAAATTTTGAATACATCAGTGAGAAGCTATGTGCCTATACCTGATGTTCATGTTTTGGCATTTGAGCTTGCTGCCACTCAGCCCATTCCTGCAACTGAGGACAATTTGTGACAGTAGATTGTTGAACCTTCTGCGGAAGTGGCTCGAAAGGGAGATGCAGGTTTGGACAACCTTTTATGTTCAGAAGACTGAGGGATTCGAGGTTAGACAATCCTGCTACAGAAAATAGCTGTCTGCATCCAACAATAGCTAGTCCCTCTAGCATTGGCATGTTTTCAAGTTTGATAAACTTGGCTGTTCTCAAGAAACAGACTTTTAATGTCCTGAGGAGTGGAAAATGCAGACAACTTAATGTTTCTTCATGAATGTTGCCTTTCAATACTAAGCTAGTGAGAGAAGGAGCAATCGGTAGTCTAATCAACTTCTCACAGTTTGTAATAACCAGCTTCTTCAAATGAGCTGGCAATTTCTGTGGAAGGACTCTCAATTCATTGCTATCCTTGATTTTCAGCTCACTAAGAGAAGGGAAATCACTTTCAGCAATGTCATACCACTCCACCCATTTTGGCATGTCCTGAAACTCTAGTAGCTCCAGAGCTGGGAACCGTTTTGTGGAGTCCTGGCCATAAAACTCTTGCCCAATTCGCTCTACACCTTCCATATGGATGACTACAAGTTCATGGAGCTGAGGCAGTTGGCCAAGAGCTGGAAGAAACTTGCATTTTTGCTTCCATAGAGTCACCTTGGCTAAACGTGAGAAGGCAGGATCACCCATCCAGCTTGGATATTTGTAGCCACTATACTCGACTACCTCCAACTCCTCAAGGTTCCTCTGTGGTTTTAAGCTCTCAAATACCTCCTCTTCAAATTCTGGGGTTGATGTTGCATTATTCTGATTAACAGTGTGCTCACATTCAGTAGCGTAAAATCCAGCAGACCAATCCAATCTCAGAATTTGCAGGTGTATTTTATTGATCAGGTTTGCTGTCTGAGCATCATTGATGTTGGTCACTCTGCTGAGCCCTGTAATGGAAAGTTCTCCATGGATATTCACCAAATGGTGTAGTTCAGCAATATTGCAGTGCCAATTCCCTGTTCCAACACTAACTCTTGTCAATGTTTTTAGCTTCTTCAGCTCCCCAATTCCTCTTGGCATGCATAGGGGAGACCAGAGATCTAAACTAAGGTGCTGAAGGCTGACCAACTTCTGAATGCCTTGCGGAATCTCTCCAAGCATGTTAGTTCTTGCATCCAAAACCTTCAAGTTGTAAAGACCGCAGATAGATTCAGGTAGCTTGGCAATTCGTGTTTGGAAAATACTGAGGTATCTAAGCAACTTCAGTTCTCCTATTGACTCAGGCAACGATGTCAATGAACTACGGCTTAAATCCAAGGCTCTCAGATGTCGAAGACCCCTTAGATCTTCAGGAAGTGTAATGTTGATATGATGAGAGAACAACTTGGAGAAGCGTCTTCTGTTGTTTTTGAAAAGAGAAGAATAGTACCTCTTGTTATCATCCATAGCATTTATAACTTGAAGTATCCTAATGCTCCCATTAATTGGCAAGGTACGCAGGTCCAAATTAGTATGATCCGAAGAACTCACAGCAAAGGATAGGTACCTAACATTACGTGATGCATCATTTAAATACAGCATGTGTTGAGTGTCCAGTTTCAGAATGTCTTCACCTGAGACAAATTTGGCCAGATCAATGAAAAGGTCATGTATGGTAAAGCAATTGTGTCCTCCATCAATTTGTACTCGCTGAACCATAGTTCTCTGCAATAGGTCATCAAAGTATTGATTCCCAATATTCTCAAGGTGTCTATGGTTGTTCTGCTTAAGGATGCCCAAAGATATCCAGAGATATACAACATTTTCCTTCATGAAAATGTGCCCCTTTGGGTACAGCGTGAACAAAACGAAGCACCGTTTCAGGTCAATCGGCATTCGGACATAGCTCAATCTTAAGGCTGGTAACACAGTATCCTCCCCTGTTGGTAACTCCCACAGTTCACTGTCCAATATATCACTCCATTTTTCCTCATTTTCCTCAAAGCGAAGCACGCTTCCAATTGCTTTGACTGCCAAAGGTAGGCCTCCACATTTCTGAACAATTTTTTTGCCAATTTCTTCAAAGGCTTTTTCTATATTTTGATCTAGGTGACCAAAGGCCATCTGCTTAAATATCTGCCAAGATTCATCAAAAGGTAAGCAGCCCACATGGTAGGGAGCCATTGTCTGGATAACTGATGACACATTCACATTCCGGGTAGTTACAAGTATTGCCCCTAATTGTGCAGCTGACATTGGTGATAGCAAGGCATCCCAAAGGTCCTTCCTTTCGCTCCACACATCATCAAGAACAAGTAAAAACTTTCTGCCAGCAACTTGATCCATTAGCATATACTCTAGCTGGTCCAGTTCTGTTATTTGACAAGGTTTTCTTGTAAGTGACATGATAATTTTGCTCATAATGTTTTTAAGATCAAAGTTCTCCGATACATGGATCCATCCCATTAGATCAAATTGCTTCATTATCCTTCGATCATTATAAACTAGTTGGGCAAGCGTTGTCTTCCCTACTCCCCCCATTCCAATGATAGGAAGAATTGATGCAATTTTTTCTCCATGAGCTCCATCCATTGAGAGCAACATCTTGACTATGTTGTTCTTGTCATCATCTCTTCCAATGACAGTGGGTTCATCAATATGTGGGGTAGTTGGCATTGGCAGGAAGTCTTGTTCATCTTCTCTCAATGGTGCATCTGCCTCATCCAGTTGGAGATCATTCCATGCCTTAGTGATCTCCTTAAATCTTTCTAGAATTCTTTTTACCCTGAGAGCCAATTCATCTGGTACTGGAACCACCACAGGGTCTGTTTCAGGTTCCTGGAGATGAAATACTTTATTAGTCAAAATGAAAACTGATATTTATTGTTTGTAATCATAACTCGTTCAATATTTAGTAATTTCAGTATTAGTGAGTGCCATTAAAAGTTTCACTGGCCTTAGGGCCTGTTTGATACATGAGCTAATTGCTAGCTAGCTAAAAATTAGCTCTAGTGCATCCAAACGGGAGAGCTAATAGGTGGGCTAATTTTTTAGCCAAGTCTTCAACTAGTTGTACTAACAACCATAGCTAATTTGGGTTAATTTCTAGCCCCAACTAGTAACTAGCTATGTGTATCCAAACAGACACTTAATCTCGTTTGTCTTGCTCTCATCTCAATTAAGTAGTTTCTATCCATGATTCTAGTGTTTTGAGTTGAAGGTACCATAGCAAATTCTGCTATGTTTTTGTATGTGATTTGACAATCATCTAAATCAAATGGTTTGATCAGTATGAACTATGAAAATAAGTGTCAGAGAAGCAGAACTGCATGTACCTCCTTTTTTCCCTTGCGCTTGCGCTTACGTGTACTTCTGTCTTCACCATGACTGTTTGGATCATCCATCATACGACGCAGCAGCTCAAACTTGTACTCGTCGATAGCATCCTGTGCATCATAGGCAAACTGCTGGAGCTCCCTCAAGCGAAGCCTTCCAGACTCATCTCTGATGTTATCCTCATCCATTGCCCCAAGTGTGCGCTGGACAGTTGCCATCGTCCTCTGCAGCGCCTGCACATCGCTGATTGCTGAAGTTTGCTGCTCATCAGATTGCGATGACCCAATCGGTGCAGAAACCAAGGAAGCAAGCTTGCTTGCTGTCCACTTGATAACTCCAGATGCAATCAGACCAGCCATCTCTCTTCTGCTCCTCTCTGCTAGCTGGAAGAATTTGAGTTGGTCAACCTATAAGATGGCTTCCAATCACAAATCACGCTTAAAAGCTGGTATAACTCTGAAGTCGGAGTGTGTTGACTTTGCTCTATGATATTCTCAAGCAGCTTGAATGTTTCTGGTACCAGCTCCCATGGAGGCTTGTAATCTTTTGACCATCTGTGGATGAACAGAACACTTGTTTGCCAGACTCCACAAATTGCCCACTGCTTTTCAGAACTTGTCCTGTATCATCTAGTTATTGTGGTGATTTTCAAACCACAATTTTCAATCCATAATAAGTCCAAGATCTACCCATGTAATTGAATTTTATCTGTTTTTTTCTGTTGGTTCTGTTCACCATTTCTTAATTTTTTGAGTTATCTGCAATGCCAAAATCTTTGATGCTTTACAAGTTTGGTGGTTGGTTCTGATAGTGACAAACTTGGCTTCTGAAATTTCAATAGGATTATTCAAATATCTGTTTCATAATTCACTTTAGCACTATCAAGTTTTGAACATTGAGTTCTCATTTACCTGCTAGAATAACCAGTCTAAATGACTAACACGAGGTCGATGGCAAAAGTTTAGCCCATTTCGTCAAGGGTGAGTAGTTCCCTAATGCCTGATGATGAGGGATGTGGACTTTCAACAAACAAATATAGTAAAATTTTGGATACTGAAGGATCTTTTCATGAATGAGGGAACTTACTGTGTCCAGGTACCTCGAGAAAGGTGCATCAAGTCAAAATATTTCAGCTCTTGAATGGGTGAGGGCCTTCTTGAGCTTAGAACAGAACACTTGTACCACTAAACTTGCATGTCAAACTTGTCCTGAGGGCTTTATTGCTCCAAGAACACCTCCTAATAAGTCCAAGATCTAGGAGGGACTATCCGTTTTTGTTGGTTTTTCATTTTAAGAATAAAAAATGCACCCAAGTTCAAGCTTTGGATGTCATTCTGATAGTGACAAACGTCTTCGAATTTCAAAGGATTATTCAAATATCTGTTTTAATTCATATAGCACTTCTAAATTCTCAGCCTCTAGACCAATGACTTCTCGAAATCTGGCAGCTTTAGCCCATTGTCAAGGGTGAGTAGTTCTAATTGATGTTGAGGGTGTGGACTTCTTATTTGAAGGATCATTTCATGTTGATTTTGCCACTACATCTAGGGTCCCGCCTTCTTGAGCTTAGCGACTTCTAAGCTCCAAACTATTAGGGCTTCTTTTAGAACATAGACCAACCTAGGAGGGACTATGTTATTTTTATTAAGAATAAAATAGCCACCCAAGTTCACTTGAGGCATTGAACATTGGTTCTAGTACACACCCCCACCCTCGACAAACTGATCTAGCTCAGCTTCCTTCGAGGGCTTCTTGAGTCTGAGGACCTTCTGAATGGCCTCAAAAACTTCTCAAATTTGTCTTCTTGACATCAAGGACCTCTTGAGTATGAACACGAGGACTAGGGGACTGTCTGGTGTGCTGTCTTACTTAGCCAAGCCAAAATTTGGTCATGCTCATCAAATTTGCCATCATTTGCTAGGGTCTGGATCACTGCTCAACACATGGGCATGGAAGTCAGCACAGAAGTTTGATCAATGTCTAGCAAAGTGGGATTGGACCAAAGGATGCGGCCATGTACAGTGGGGTGCTAGTCAAAGGTTGTTCCCTCACATGAAACAAGGCGAGCCCCAGGGAAACTTTTCTTTGAATAAAATAGGAAATGAATGAAAACAAATAAGCATCGATAAAAAATAAATACATAAACAAGCTCAGACTAACAGCACAACCTCAATGTTCCAAGGTACATTCTTCTTTCTAGGTAAGTTGAAATCTGTTTACTCGAAAATTTGGTGTTATCCCAGAAAGATAAAATTTAAGGCTTTGTGTTGTCACTTTGATGATGGCAAACTTCTTCGGGAATCTGAACACAGTAGCTAATATGTTTCATTAATTTAGACATAATTCACTAGGAACCATCATTAAAACTGAAAACAAAGGGAATCAGACCAAACTAGAAAGATTAGAAGAGCTAACAGAGACAGAGCACCTAGAAGAACTGAAAGGTACAGCTTTTTGTAATGGTTTCTAACAGTACTATATAGAGCGGTTTTACTCGGAACAGACCAAGGACACAACCAAATGTTCCAAGTTTGTTGAGTGATAATATGTTGTTTCTAACTGGTGGACATCCAAGATGGTTATCCTGAAAAGTATCAACACACAGGGTGCTAAATGACATAATGAAATGTTTACAGCCATCTGCATTTTCTGTAGTGAAGCAGTAATTTCTATGTCTACTTAGTTTCTCTAATCCTCCTGGTCATCGTCGTCAATACTAAAACCTGATGGCCCGAAGTCTGATTCAGCATCATCATCATTCTCGGGTATATCTAAGAACTCTTCTTCAACTTCATCGTCTGTTTCATCCCACAGCATTTCAAGAGCTTCTCGGTCTTCATCGCTTTCATGGTCAGACAGTAGCTGCTAGCAGTGCAAATTAATCAATGTTTTTTTTCCTTCTAAAAGTGACAATTTCGAAAAAATAAATAAATTTGAACAGGCTAAGGCATAATATACCTGATTGTAGAGTTGCACATTTTGGAACTCCAACCAGTCATGTAGCTGCGGACATTTCAAGATTGTAAGCCGCTCAAGCTGTTGGGGAAGAGGCTGGTCAAAAGGGAGATGCAGTTTTCGGCACGCTATTATGTTTAGCAGCTTGAGAGATTGCAAGTTGCTAAGGCCCACTAGTTCCTGCAACTTATGGCATGCACGAACCACAAGGAGCTCTAGCAGTGGCAGGTTCTGGCTAAGAACGACGTACTCTATGTTGTGAGAAAGAGACACCTTCAATGCTTGCAGCAATGGCAAGTCCAGGTCAGAAAACAACCCTTCGTTAAGTTTTCCCTTTAAGACCAAACTAGAAAGGTTTGGAAGATGTGGCAGCCTGACTAACTTATCACAGTTCTTGATCACTAATTTTGACAAGGATGCAGACAATGGACGTGGAAGATACCTCAACTCAAAGCATTCCTTGATTCTGAGTTCGTGGAGGCAAGAGAAGTCCCCATCGTCTATTCCGGACCATTCCACCCAAGTTAGGCATGTTCTCAAACTCTAGATCCTTCAATGAAGGGAAGCCTTTTATATCACCTTGCCCACAGAATTCCTTTGAAATGTGCCGAACGCCTCTCATCCATTGCACAGAGATCTCAAGGAGCTGAGGCAATTTAACCAGTGTAGGAAGAAATTCAGAACTTTGCTCATACAGAGTTATTCGAGTCAGTTGGGTGAATCTAGAAAGCCCTAACCATTCCGGATATCTGTAGCCACCATAGTTGGCTACCTCCAACTCCTTCAGATTGCTATGCGGCCGAAGGCTCTCAAAAATTGCCTCCTCAAACTCGGGTGTACGTACAAGGTCACATTGAACTCCAGAATGATGTCTGCATCTACTAGGCAATGATCCATCGGCCCAATCCAGTGTTAACTTTAGCAGGTGCTGTTTACTGACCAGATTAGCAGTTTGTGCATCATCTACACTGCCTACTCTCCTTAATCCAGTAATAGACAGCTCTGGACGTATGTTGACAAAGCCATGTAGCTCCGCAATGTTGCAATGCCAGCTCCCACTTCCAATGCTGAACCTTGACAAGGACTGCAATTTCTTCAGTTGTCCAACCCCACTTGGCATGCATAACGGGGACCGTTTCTCTAATTGGAGATGGCGGAGACTGACTAATTTCTTGATTCCTTGGGGAATCTCAGTTAGGCTGTAGGTTCTTGAATCCAAGACCTTAAGATTGTGCAGATTTTCCATAGAATCAGGAATACTTGTAACTAAAGCCAAATCAATAGGATGAACCCTACATCCGATTTCAAAACGTCTAAATGTAGCAAGAACAAAATCAAGAAAACTCACCCAGTCTTCATTCCAAGTGTGACGGCCTGAAATTTTTGTGGTTCTCGACAGTTGCTGGAAACTTTGCCATAGTGGGTCAGGAATTAATTATCACATCTGATATTAAAGCGACCCAACAACTTGGAATAGCATCTTCTATAGAATTGTCTGTCCTGAGTTGACAACTTGAACCCACTCTGAGGCCTTTCTGGAATCTTAGCAGATTGCAACATTACATTTATATCAGAAGAACTAACAACTAAAGATAGATACCGATAACCTTGTGTCTACTTCATGGGTTGGGACGGCGCCAAGTATGGTTGTTTATTCTTCCAAAAAATCTTTTCAAACCCTGCAACGGGTTGAACTGTAGCAGGTCATGGACCAGATCTCATGCAAATGATGAAAAAGTCAAATTCATCAAAGACAGATTTGGTCTGTCCAATAGCAAAATTTCCTTTATCAGGTTGTCAAAGTAAAAGTTCAAATTCTTAGTGGATTTTTAACATGATGCAAAAACACGGTGTTACTGGGCACCGCCCAATCTGCCGCCCCTCCTTGAGTAGATCCGGCAGTGACATCCAAAGATTTATGACATTATGGCTTTCAAGAAAGGTATCTCTCTAGGAAGCAGAGAGAGAGAGAAATGAAAGACCGTCTAAGAGTGCTTCAGGCATCCGCCATCATAGCTCAACCTCATCCGAGCTGAGAAGGACATGGTCTTCATTTGGCGGGGGAACTCCGGCGCGAAGGCTGCTTGAGTCACTATTCAGTACCTCCAACCATCTTTCCACGGTAAAATCTCCCGAATTTCCGATATATCATTTTTATCCGTGCTTTTATTGCCAATGGCAAGCCTCCATCTTTTTTACAAATTTTGTTTAAATTTACTTCAAATTCAAATTGAATTTTATTTAAATTTGGGGCAAAGATATTTCCTTATATCCTGATCCATCCTCTTTCATCTGATTAGACCCCTATATGGTAGGGAAATTTGGTTTCCGAAAATAGAAACCTTGGTTACGGGTGGTTAGTAGGATCATTCCCAGTTGAGCACTTAGCATAGGAGACAGTAAAGTGTTCCAAAGGTCCCTGTCCTCATTCCACTCATCATCAAGAACAAGCAAGAATTTCATGCCCTCAACTTGCTCCGTCAGTGCATCTTGGAGATCATCCATTTCCATTGCCTCACATTGTCTTCTTGAAAATGACATTAGGATCTTACTTGCCAAGTTCTTGACCCTAAACTCAGGAGATACATGTACCCAGCCCTTGATGTCGAAGTATTTAGAGATCCTTCGATCATTGTACACTAGTTGAGCAGGTGTTGTCTTGCCTACTCCTCCCATACCAATAACAGGGAGGACGGAAAGCGTCCCTGCATCAGCATTGACAACTGCTGTTAACATTTTGATGACGCTTTCCTTGTCTTCTTCTCTGCCAACGATGTTTAGTTCATCTACATGTGGGTTGGTCGGCAGAGGCAACAATTCATTGTCATCTTCCAGCATGGGTGCATCACTCTCATCCATCTGGAGGTCATTCCATGCCCTTGTTATTTCATTGAACCTCTCTGAAATCTTTTTAACCCTTGTTGCTAACTCATCAGGAACAGGAACTGGAATAGGGTCTACTTCTGGTTCCTGTAAGTAAGTTCTAACAATATGATTATTCATTTATATTTCATTTGCAATTAACATATTTTATGGATGGGAACAGTACAAATAAGAAAACCATTGAATAATTCTTCTCATCTGCCTAACCATCTCAAATAGACTTGTTTTGTCTAGAACATATCTGATTCAGCTTGCATAGCATGGAAGAAAGTATATATGCCATGTGTTAGATAATATGCTGCGTCCCTGGTATGAATGCGCAGCAGGGGAAGGCGGCGCTGAAAAGGGCACCCAGCTGCTGCACAGAGTTTATGCAGGGCAGGCAAAGAACGGAGCAGCTCCGCCACCGCCTGCTGTAGAGCCACAGAGAGGCCAAAGTCAGCCCTGCTGTCATATCTAGTCACTGTAGCAGCATGGCAGCTGTATTAGGGACTAGATGGATAGAGTTGTATAAATAGTTTGCCACTGCAACTCAGTAAACAGAGAGTTCAGATTTGTCATCTCCTATACAGAGCTCCGGCCAACGCTGGTGTTTCTGCTTGTGTGTGCTCTGTTCTTCCTCTCTCTTCCTCTACCTCTGACCATAGTGTGTGGTTGGCAACGACAGTTCGTGGTCGGCATCGTTAGTGTGTGCTCGGCAATACTAGAGAGTGGTCGGATATCTCCGTATCGGAGATCGATGGGCCAACAAGTTGTATCAGAGTCGTACAAGCGCCATCGCCGGACTAACCGCTGGCGATGACGGAAGATTCGGAGATGGGTGACAACAGTGGCACTGCTGTGGCTGCCCAACCATGACAAGAGGTCGTTGTTCGCACGGTGCGAGAGGTCAGCGGCACCAGTTGGCTGCGACGCTGACTAGCACCAACTATGGTGAGTGGTCGGTGACCATGAAGGTCAAGCTCAGAGCCCGACGGCTCTGGAATGCAGTTGACAAGGGCACCGAAAATGAAGAAGATGACATGTCAGCGTTGGAGGCTATCCTCACTGCTGTACCGACGGAGTATAGGGAACCGTTGGGGGCGAAAAGCTCTGCTAAGGAGGCGTAGGAGGCTATTGCGGCGATGCGCGTCGGTTTCGACCGCACAAAGAACACGACGGCCTAGCTTCTGAAGCAGGAGTATGCCAACCTCAAGTTCAAAGATGGTGAATCGGTGAAGGACTTCTCCCTCCGCCTGCAGATGCTCATCAACAAGCTGAAGAGTCACGGCGTCACCATCGACGAAGAGGAGGCGGTCTCCAACTACCTCCACTCCGTGCTGGCAAAGTACATCCAGATCGCTCTCTCCATAGAGACGATGCTGGACTTGTCCACCCTCACCATTGAGGATGTGACAGACCGTCTGCGGGCGGTGGACGAGCGCCTGGAGCAGGCGACAGCACCAAAGGACAGCGGCAAACTGCTGCTGATAGAGGAGGAGTGGGCTGCTCGGAGGAACTCCGGGGTAGCCTCCTCCAGCCACGGTGGCGATGGCAAGCACCGCGGCAAGACTTCTTCGGAGAAGAAGAAGCAAGTCGACCCCAACGCATGCCGACGTTACGGAAGACGGGCCATTAGGCACGGAGTGCCCAAATCGCAAGCAGGAGAAGAAGGCTGAGACTCATCTGGCGCAAGCTAATGATGATGATGAGGCCACTATCATCATGACGACGTTATGTGCACAACGCGACGTCGAGGCCAAGAAAAAGGGAGAGGTGACGACGGTGGAAGGACCTAGGAAGGCCCTTAAGGCTGTCAACCTCGGCGAACCATGCGCCCAAGTCCACCTTGGACGTGTGGGCGGCGAGCAGGAGTAGCAGTGGTACCTGGACTCTGGCGCTAGCAACCACATGATGGGTCCAAGGCAGTCTTTCTCTCCGAGCTCGACGATGATGTGACCGGTACGGTGAAGTTCGGTGATGACTCGTGGGTGGCAATCAGAGGGTGCGGCACCATCATCTTCAGGTGCTAGAATGGCGAGAACCGCGTGCTAACGGATGTATATTACATCTCGCAGCTGCGTTCAAGCATCATCGGCATTGGCTAACTGGATGAGCGCGGTAGCGAGGTACTGATCAAGGACGGAGTCCTCAGGATCAGGGACCGAGAACAATGACTTCTTGCCAAGGTAAAGAGGTCCTAGAACCGGTTGTACCTGCTTGACCTGAGGGTAGAGCAGCCGGTGTGCCTGGCGGCAAGGCACACCAAGGAACCATGGCTGTGGCATGCCTAGTTCGGACATCTCAGCTTCGACACGCTTGGTCGACTAGAGAAGATGGTCCGAGGGCTACCCCACACCGAGCACGAAGGCGAGCTGTGTGACAGCTGCCTGGCCAGAAGCAAAGAAGGCTGCCATTCCCAAAGGCGGCCAAGTATCACACGATGGACGCTCTCGAGCTCATCCACGGCGACCTCTACAGGCCAATCACGCCAGCCACAAATGGTGGTCGATGGTACTTCCTCCTACTCATGGATGATTGCAGTCACTACATGTGGTTGCAACTCCTAACGAGCATGGATGAAGCGGCGGGGGCGATCAAGAAGGTCAAGATGCGCGCGGAGGCCGAGAGCGGCAAGAAGCTCCGCGTGCTTTGGGACTGATTGCGGCGGCGAATTCACTTCGGTGGAATTTGCTGACGTACTACACGGATCAGGGCATGGTGCGCCACCACACCGCGCCGTACTTGCCACAATAGAATGGCATAGTGGAGCGAAGGAACCAGACGGTGGTCGGCATGGCTCGATCCATGATGAAGGCCAAAGGCATGCCGGCAAGGTTCTGGGGTGAGGCGGTGACCACGGCAGTGTTCATCCTGAAGGGCAAGACGCCGTTCGAGGCTTGGCATGGATGCAAGCCGAGCGTGTCCTTCCTCCGGACATTCGGCTGCATCGGCCACATCAGGAAGACAAAGCCGATCCTCACCAAACTAGAGGACAGGAGCACACCGATGGTGTTCCTAGGCTACGAGGAGGGTACCAAGGCGTACCGGCTCTACAATCCACGTGGAGGCAAGGTGCTTGTCTCGCACGACGTCGTGTTCGACGAGAAGGCAGCCTGGGACTGGAACAGTCCGAGCACGGAGGAAGCTGGCGACTTCACCAGCACCTTCATCGTCGAACACTTGGTCATCCACGGTGGTGGAGACGCTGGGGAAGAGGTGTCGAGCACTCTAGGAGGGGTGCCGAGCACTCTAGCGATAGCGGCGAGCACTCCTGGGGAGATGCCGAGCACTCTGGGAGGGGTGCCGAGCACTCCAGGAGTGGAGCCGGAGAGGTTCCTCAAGTGGTGGCGATCACTCCGGGACGGGTGCCAAACACTCCCATAGCGAAACCAAGGGGTCTTACAGTGGTGCCGACCACTGCAAGACGAGTGCCGACCACTCCGAGAGGGGTGCAGACCACTCCAGGAGTGGTGACAAGCGGTCCAAGGGTAGTGCCGAACACTACAGCTAGGGTGCTGAGCACTCCAGGTGTTGTGCCGAGCACTCCGGTGGAACAGGGAACTCCATCGATGCCGAGTTCGTGGATGCCTTCCACGAAGGTGAGGAGATGCGGCTCCGCAGGCTGGATGACATCGTCAGCGGCATAGGGCCCTCAGGTTTGGCGGGTTGTCTGCTCAATGACCAAGAGCTACTACTCGTCAGTGCAGAGGAACCACCCACGTTCGCACTGGCCGAGCGCGATGGAAATTGGCGACAAGCGATGCTGGAGGAGATGAAGACAATCAAAGAAAACGAGACTTGGGAGCTCATCGATCCACATCCAGGAATGTCGTCCGATCAGCCTAAAGTGGGTGTACAAGGTCAAGCGGAACGAGCACGGCGCCATTGTTAAGCACAAGGCGCGCCTCATCGCTCGAGGCTTTGTTCAGCGCGAGGACATCGACTTCGAGGAAGTCTTTGCGCCAGTAGCGCGCATGGAGTCTGTTCGTTTGCTACTAGCCTTTGCAGCAGCAAAGGACTGGCGCGTCCATCACCTGGACGTAAAATCAGCCTTCCTCAACGGCGAGCTGGCGGAGACGGTCTTAGTCAGGCAACCTCCGGGTTTTGCCGTCAAGGGAGCGGAACACAGGGTGCTCTGACTGCACAAGGCGCTCTACGGGCTATGGCAGGCCCCACGAGCGTGGAACGCCAAGCTTGACGCCATGCTGGGCGAGCTTGGATTCACGAGCTGCGCAACCAAGCACGCGCTCTACATGCGGCAACGGAGGAAGGAGGAGCTCGTCGGCGGCGTGTATGTGGACGACTTGATCGTCACCGGCGCACGTGCAGAGGACATCAACAACTTTAAGCGTGAGATGGCGGCTCGTTTTCGAATGAGCGATCTCGGTGCACTCTCCTACTACCTCGGCATCGAGGTGAGACAGGGGAAGGAGGCACTCACACTCGGGCAGAGCGCGTACGCCTCAAAGCTGTTGGAGCAGAGCGGCATGGCTGAGTGCAAGCCATGCGTGAATCCGATGGAGGAGCGGCTAAAGCTGACGAAGGCCAGTACTGCGGTGAAAGTAGATGCAACACTCTACCGGAGCATCGGCGGCGGTCTGCGCTATCTAGTCCACACGAGGCCGGACATTGCGTTCGCCGTAGGCTACGTCAGTCGCTTCATGGAGGATCCCAGAGAGGATCACTGGGCTACGGTAAAAAGGCTACTGCGCTACGTCAAGGGGACGGTGGATCAAGGAATCATCTTCCCTAAGACTGATGGGAGTAGGTTGTAGCTCACTGTGTTCAGCGATGCAAACATGGCGGGGGACATCGATGGACGGTGGAGCACCTCTAGCGTATTCGTCTTCCTCGGGTCGGCTCCAATTTCATAGCTGTCGCTGAAACATAAGGTGGTGACGCTATCTACGTGCGAGGCAGAGTACGTAGCGGCGGCCACAGCGGCGTGCCAAGTTGTGTGGCTGCGTCGGCTGCTGGGCGAGCTGACCGGTGCGGAAGCTCACCCACCAGCACTGATGGTGGATAATCAGCCCGCCATCGCCCTCGCGAAGAATCCGGTTCTCCATGATCGGAGCAAACATATCGACGTGAAGTTCTACTTCCTCAAGGACTGTGTCGATGGAGGACAGATCGTCATCGAGTTCGTCGAAACTAGTCGGCAACTCGCGGACGTCCTCACCAAGCCGTTCGGCCGTCTTCGACTCACGGAGCGGAAGAAGATGATCAGCACGGAGGGGGTTCTAGAGTTAGCAGCAGGATTAGGGGAATAATTGTTAGATAATCTGCTGCATCCCTTGTATGAATGCGCTTGCGAGGAAAAGCGGCGCCGAAAGGGCACCCTCATCGCTGCACTATAGCAGGCAGGGCAGCGCGCGAACGGCTCACTCACCGCCAGCCATCAGTAGCCACAAGGGGAGGCACACCAAAGTCGACCTCTTTGTCACATCTAGTCACCGTGCGCATGATGGCAATTGTACTAGAACTAGATGGATATAGTTGTATAAATAGTTTACCACTGCAACTCAGTAAACATAGAGTTCAGATTTGTCATCTCCTATACAGAGCTCCGGCCAACGTTGATGTGTGTGCTTTGTTCTCCCTCCCTTCCTCTACCTCTGACCATAGTGTGTGGTCGGCAACGACAGTTCGTGAGTCGGCATCGCTAGTATGTGCTCGGCAACGCTAGAAAGTTGTCGGATATCTCTGTACCGGAGATCGACAGGCCAACATCATGCGCCCATGCACATAACTTTTTGGCACCGGAAATATCACAAAGCATGTTACTAATCTAACTTATGTTCTCTTGTATAGGTGATTAAATAGACCAGTGGCCCACCCTACTAATCACAAGTGTTGAGCAGATCAACCAAAGAGAAACACATGCACACGTGAGATGGAAGGAGCAGTACCTTCTTTTGACCCTTGCGTTTGCGACTACTTCTGTTGCTTCCATCACCTTGCCTGTCTTGATCTTCTATCCTTCGCCGCAGCAGCTCATATTTGTACTGGTCAACAGCATCCTGGGCATCATAGACAAACTGCTGCAGTTCGCTTAGGCGCAGCCTCTCTGCTTCGCCTCTGATGCTGCCCTCAGCTGATTCATCGAGTGTCCGCTGGATCATTATCATTGACCTTCGCAGCTCCCGGAGGTCCTCAAGAGCAGATTGCCCTTCATCGGAGTCGGAGGGTGCTGTCCAAACTGGTGCAGAAACTAGAGAGGAAAGCTTGCTTGCAGTCCACTTGACGATTCCAGATGCAATTAGCCCAGCCATGTGCTTGCACCCGTGTTCTCAGACTCTAAGAACTTTATGACCAGATCTGTGACGGGTTTCTGTTTCCAGTTTCCTGTTTATGCTAAACAGCAGCTTCTGTGGCCATGGAGATAAGGACATTTACTTTGTGTAGTCTACAAGTTGTACGCATTCTGGCTGGCTTCTCACATGGGGTGGTCTTAACGAAGTTGACTTCAATGGTGAGTTTCTTGTTGTATCCTCCTAGCTTCAGCCTCATTCTTAAGGCATTAGGTTATGTGTTTTCTATTTAATAATGACAACTTTGACAATTTTTTATGTTTATTTTTTTTTTAAAAAAAAAACATTCACTTTGGCCCTGTACATTGTAGTGTTACAAAACGAAGACCTTGCTAGCTAGCTGCCATTTGTTTTCTTTGGGCATTCCAAAGTTGAATGTGGAATATCCTCTTTGGCCAGACTGCCGATAGACAAAAACCAAATAATCTGTTAGTAAAACCATGGTTATGTTGATTAGTGAAAAAACAAACTTTAATTCAATTAGCATTAGGAAATTGCCTGAAGACTGGACTTGTTTGGAAATATTTATGTATTGTTTCATCATTCAGATATCGTGCTAACTTGTTCAGATATCAGGATTGGTGCATGTTACTAAACTATGGTTGTGAAACTTTCATGCTTAGGAATTAAGAAAATGGCAATTTGCCATTATAAACGTGAGACTTCACTCTTTTGTCATCCCGCAAATCAAACTTGGCACACCCGCTAGAATACTTTTTGAATATTTTATTGCCAAATTTAATCATTTTTTTATTCACGACATCTTTTTGTTCCCGTTTTGCCCCTGGCTGAACAAACGTTATCTTCTTCTTTCTTTCCTGGTTCACGGTCTTCACGGACAAAACGAGCGGGAGAGAGTAGATGACGACGACGATAGGGCTTGGCTCGTCCGCCGCCGCCGGCCGACGGTAGCCCACCTCCTTGGCTGTCTCTCTGAAGCCACCCGCGCAGCTCCAAGTGTTGGATGGAAACGCCTGGGGAAAAGCACCCTCACCGAACAGGGCAGGAGTAGCGGCCGCAGATCTGGCGTCGGGGAGAGCGTCGACCTGCTCGTGGCGGCCGCGGCGGGCTGGCGTAGACGCGTCGGAGTGGCGGCGGCGCTCGCCTGGAGTTGCTCCGGCAGAGGTCGTCTTCGTCTCGTCTGTATCTCCCGTTCGTGCTCCTCTCAGTGAACTCCGGTCAAGAGACCGGGAATGAGAACGAAGCGAAGGATAAGGCTCAAGGGTAAAACGGGAAAAGAAAAGACGACATGAAAAAATTTTATTAAATTTGGTAATAAATCTGTCACAGGGCATTCTAACGGGTGTGCCAAATTTGATAATGACGAATAGGTGAATCCCATTTGCGGATGGTAAAAGCGAAGCCCATGTTTTATAATGGCAAAATTGCCATTTTCTTGGGATCATATTCATCGGTTTACCTTATGCCACTATGCCTTTGTAAGAAGACTGGGCCAGTTTCTACTCTTTCAGCACAGCTTCTAGTTTATGGAATCGTTGCACATGGAAGGTTGTACTTCTATTGACCAATGACCATGCTGCCATCTGTCTAGTGGGCCAAGGGTGGTTTGCCAAACCACACACAGCATGGCACTTCAATTTTCCAAGGTTCTGACTATTGTGTCGTTTGTGTTGAAATTGGATACATTTTGGTCCTTTCACTTATTCGGTCCCCATGCTAACCTGGCATGTTAATCCATTTTCTTGGTCCAGTGAAAGCATCACTCTACAATTCAACCCCATAGCATCGGTTGTCATATACATTTTTTTTTTAAGTTTGGTGGCTAATGGATGCATGCCACTTTCAAGGCTCAAATTATGCGACAGAATTTATAGACTGCTGAAACAGTTGTTTCTCTTGAGAATTTAATGTAGCTACATACAATTCTTGAGGTGCTACTAGAAAGATACATGAGTGATCTAAATGTGGAAAAATTTGAGGTAACAATCTGAAACAGAGTCGAAATATTTGAGGTAGCTAAATGTGGGGAAAAAAAAAAAGGGCCCAAGGTTTGATCTAACAATCTGTATGCCACAGCTAACGAGTAATGGTTGTTCTCAGATATATATGTTCTTCAGTTGACTGTTGACCTAGGTGCAGAGTGCTCACGCAGGTAAACATTTCTCTTTTCTATTGGTTGGTCCATCGTTTGATCTTGAGGCTTTCTGGTTCTGGTTGCTACTATGTCAAATTTCTTCAAAAATCCCGAAGCCGCAGTTGGCATTTTTTTTTAGCAGAGTTGGCATATTTTAGCCCTAACCGGTTCTATGCGCAGTGGGCCTGATGTGCGTCACGGCCCGCTCTTTCATACCCCAGCGGGAGTTCTGCTAAAAAAAAAAAGCCCAGCGGTAGGAAGCAGCCTCGCCGACCGAGACAGACCATCCGGAGAGTTTTACCTGTAGCATTAAAAAAGTAGACCCTTTTCTACGTGCCACTAAAAAGTTCAGACGCATCCAGATGCTATGACACTTTTTTTCCTCCCTAAGCCATTTCCCATTCCGTCCACCTTCTGTTTGATTTCCACCGTTTGACAGCCCTGACACGTGGACCCGGTCAGTGACAATATCCAAAATACCCTTCTCTCACAATCCTATCCCCTCTCGTCTGTGGAGGAGGCAAGTCGTCGTGACCCAAAGACCTTCTTCCTCCTCAAGAAGAGCAGCGTGAGTTCAGGGTCTGGCCAGCGAGATCTTCATGGCCGGGGAGGAGGTCGCCCACCCGCGCGCCCGCCGGACCTGCACCGCCGAGCCCACCGGAGATCCGCCTTCTTCCTCTTCCTGCTGCTCGCGACATGGCGGCTCGCGGCGGCGGCCGCCGCGCTCTCCACCTTCGCGCCGGCGGTGGCCACGCGCACCAGGAGACGTAACCGTCCTCGCACCCCTTCGCCGCGCTAGCCGGCGAAGACGACATCCTCTGCGCCTTGGTTTGGACTTCCTCTACGCCGTGGTCTACCCCTTGGTTCGAATTCAAAGGGCGACACGCAGTTGACGCGGATGCCGTGCGCACCGAGCTCGCATGCCGCGTTCTTGGTGAGACCCACGACGGCGTGCTTGGGCGGTGTAGGCGTGCCGGCCATGCTGCCAAGCACGCCCGCGACACTGGCGACGAAGCCAATGCTCCCGGCCAGGCGCCATGGCGAGCGCCGCGATACTTCATCCTGAGCGCGGCACCCACGGCTTTGTCTGCGGCATCCTCAAAGGGACGCCGGCCTCCATCCGCTGCTTTAGGAACGACATGGCGGCCCTGGTCGTTGCCGGCGCGCCCATGGACGGGAGCTTCGATGTCGTGGCCACGTGCGCGCCGTCCACGACGGGGGTGCCCCTGTCGTTCCTCGTCGGCCACCCGGTATGCGCCGCCCATGGTGGCTGGGGCGGAGCTCGCTCGTGCGACCGCCCGCGCTAGACGGGACGGAGCTCGCCCGCGCACCGCCCGGCGGAGCCCGCTGCTTCCTGTGCGGCCGTGCGAGCCCACCCCTGCACGCGCCAAGCACCACCAGTCGCCGGAGCCGAGCCCACCCCTACCCGAACGGAGCATCACCTCTACAGCACGTGTGCACAATCGGCCATGGTTGAAGGTTGAAGAAGATCTCTTTGCAGTTTATCCCTACCCTTTCTATCTTATAAATTCGTTGTATAATGTGTCTTGTGAATCTTCCCGATAGCCCCTGTTAAACTTTACACATCTCGTTTGGTCAGCGAGGTGAGGGTATTTGGGACTTTTTCTAATGCAGGTTGACACCGTTAGATGAAAAAGTGGACGGAAAGGCTTGGGAGGCAAAAAAAAAAATGTCATAGTATCTGGGTACGTCTGAACTTTTCAGTGGTATGTATGAAATGGTCATCTTTTTTAATGATACACAGGTAAAACTCTCATCCTCCTGAGCTCCTGGGCCGAGCCAGGCCATCCTCCTGAGCTCCTAGGCCGAGCCAAGCCAAGCCGCCAGGCCACGGGCTCACGCACGCTAGCTACAGGGCCAATTGGGTGCCTCCTCAAGATCTGGACTGGACATTCGGCCCATGATTAATCTCAAGAGGTGCTGCAGACCTGCAGTGCTACTGTAAAGCACGCACGAGTAAAAGAAAAGTGTTTTTTTTCTCTTATTATAGTACAGACATAGTCATTCATACATATGTACCCACTCACACTATAAACGCATGTATGCACCCTACTCCTATGAAGATCTTCAACCAATTTAAATTAAGCCAGTAGATTTTAAGATTGATGAAGTCACCGTAAACGTCTCACTATGGACAAGCATATTACCTTAGCCTGTAAATAGGTGGAGATCCGGTCTAGAACCATAGAGTCAAAATGAAACCAATCTAATCCAAGATAACTATCACCTGCCCAAATCAAACAAAACTACTTCTAGCTCCACCTCGGACCAAACGAACCCGATGCGCACAAGCTGTTTAGCCAAACGGTTTGCAACGCATGGGTTCTCGAAGCAGTAATCTCGTCGAATTCTTCCACCCATCGTGTGCTCTCTGCTAGCGCGGGAGTACAAGCCTCGCTTCTCCTTGTTCTCATTCGCCTCATGCTCTAATTAGTAAGGCAGGCAATAGTCCTCCAGACACTGGTAGAGAACCGAGCTTTACTCCCGGTGGGGAACCCCCTCTAGTCCCGGTTCCCCACCCGGAGCAAGTATCCGGGACTAAAGGGGGGGTCCTTTAGTCCCGGGTCAGGAACCGGGACTAAAGGAGGACCTTTAATCCCGGTGGGTAACACCAACCGGGACTAAAGGTGCCTCCTGACATGCCACGATGGCCGGCACCTTTAGTCCCGGTTGGTAATACGAACCGGGACTAAAGGTTTTTTTCTTTTTTCTTTTCTTTTCATTTTTTTGTTTTCTTTTCAAAATAGGTTTTCGAAGTCGTATTGTACGCTGCTAATTATACATTTATACACGCATATAGTATGTTTCAGTTCAAGCACAATGAACGTATTAAATCACACAATTC